AGAGAGAGTAGTACGGTGGGATATTGAGCAACAATGAAGCTCTCCAAGTGATTGAATTCACCACTCAACTGCTACTATTTTACGTAAAAGAAAGAGAAAAGTAAAACATGAAATGATAATAATGAATAATAGTATGTAAGTATCTCTAGTTGAACATGTTTTAAGTTTTGGGGTCCAACAAAGTAGGATAAATTTTTGAATTCGCAACCATTTCCTCTTTAAATAGATGTGAATATGAATGTGATGAAAATGATTTGGGCTAATTAACCAAGATTCATATAGAAAAGTGTCACTTTGGTATGAAGCTTTTCCTACCAAAGGCGACTTTAACAGTTTAGTCCTAAAAAAATGTAACAATAGTATGTAGAGAATAAAGCAGAATAAAAACGTAGAGGAACACAATTTCATTATTACATGACATTAAAAGTAGTATATATCATGAAAATGGGGGAGTTTCAAAAGATTTGAAACAAGAAGCAATTTGGCTAAATATTCACACACAACTGAAGATTTCTTTTCAATAATTCAAAACTCATTGTTACTTCTTTCTTTATAAAAAGAATTAGTCACTTTATAGAATATCATCAGAAAGGAAAAACCTGAAGAATCAACGACCAACTCTTTTTTGGATTCCACATAGAAAATGCAGCATCAAGTTTCACTGGAGGAACGTATCCAACCAAAACATCTCTCTCCTCACTAAAAGAAGTTAATTGGTAAGAATTAGACGATGATGACATCAAGGCGTTTTTATTTTATTTTTTTGGAAAAATAACACTCACCTAGCCCTGCTCAGATCTAGAAATGTAATTAGGAATGACAACAAACAAGGGAAAAACAAATGAGATAACATTAACTACTTACAAAGAATTGAGAGCAAGACCACAAAACTAGGCACCATTACAAGAACTATCTTAGGCAACCACTACATCACCAGATTAAGTCTCCATCATTGAAATGGAGGAAGTCAGAAATTGAGAGAAAGAAATGAAGAACAGAATACAAAAACATAAAGCTAAGCAAGAATGATATTAGAAAGAACAAGAAAAAGGGGTTAAGGACCCACAACAAATGGTGGAGGAAGGTGGAATTCCACAAAGCTCCAAGCAGCAATATGAAGGACAAGAATGAGGAGCACCAATTTATGAACCCTTATTTTTTAGGGTTTCTTTATAAATACCTAAAGGTTCATTTTAATGGGCTGGGCTATTTCTTTTTGGGTTAATCCTAGTTTTGGATTGGCCCATGTTTGTACATACTTTATTAATGAATAAAAAGATTTTGATGCTCCAAATTATTTTTTTTAAAAAAATCAAATGCTTATAAATTTTAAACATAATTCATAAAAGATGTTTTATATTAATGCAACATATATAACTTAATTATAGGTATAAAAATTATACCAAAATCAATATTTTTGTACCCTTTTTCTAACCAATCAAACTAATATTTAACAACATCTATTCAAGAAATTAATATGTATATATTATATTTAATTTATATCATATTTGCATCCTTTAACAAATTCTATTCACGATTTTAATTTTGAAGCTTTTGAAATTATGGTAAATTTACGATTAATAGTGATAATTACACTTGAATTTATTAATTTGCATGCACATGTAGATATATTTTTATGAATATATCTGAATTTAGACATGTTTGGATGAAAGTTATCCTTTTTCATTATCATTACATGTCAGACATTAAATCGAATCAAATAAAATTCCTAAAGTATTATTTTATGATCCAATAACTTGTGCAGATTCAATATAATTACTTATATTATTCCTCAATTTCGAATTAAACCTTCTCATAGACAAATGCTCCTTAAATAATTGCAATATAATGAAAGCAAAGATTCATGTATTTTAAATACTACGAAACAACTTCCTTTTCAACATATGTGTTCTATGACAATTTAGAGTTTTTACTACTTTCTGCATTTCAAAAAGGATGTCTCCTTTTCTTTTTTGCAACACTTTAACTTTAAATTTCCACATGGCATATTTTTAATACCACAAGATTAAAGGGTATTTTGGTACATTTAACATAACTTTAATTTAGAACCACAAGATTAAAAAGTCTTCTTTCTTTTCTTAAACTCTGTTCCAAATCAAACTAGGTCATTCTTTTTTAAACGCAGGAAATATTAATTGTTGTGTTTTGTGATATAGTAAATTGTTTAGAGCTTAATTTCTGAGTTAATTGGCAGGGCAAATACTTAATTAAAAGAGACATAATATATACTATTTATTCTAAATTTAGGAGAAAATGGTCAAAAGCCCTCCTAATTTATATTCGGATTTTTAGCTACACATACACTTTAGCTTTGCGGGAGTCGTATCACCCACCTGAACTGTTAATAATTGTAATAATTATCTCTTTAAATGTTTAGTTGACACTGTGAGTGTATTTCACTCTCAGAAAGTGAACATCAAAATCTATTTCTAAAACTTTATTCTTAATATTTTTTCAATCAATATATGTAATTTTATGTTGAATAAAAGATATTTTTTCATTAATTAGTATTTTGAGTTAGTCGTATTCTGTTAGTATTTTAAGTAAGTTATATTTTTAGAAAGTTAGTTAAAGTTAGTTAGAGTTTGTTACTAACATGTATAAATACAATATGTACAGATCATTTTGATATCAAGTTGAATATATTCAAACATTATATTTCTTATGTTCTCTTCTCTCATCTTGAAGGTTCTCACATGGTGATGATCAAGGAACTTCACATGGTATCAGAGCTAGCGTAATCGACCTCATATTCCTTCGATCCTCTATCTGTTTCTCGTCTCACATCTTCTTCGTTTCACTGCTATTTTCAATTCTCCTATTTGAGAAATTCGGCATCCTCAACAATGGTGAATGCTAGTTCACCTGCAAATATGGAAATTGGAGCTAGAGTTGTGCCTACTATGGTAACAGTCGATCAACATCATCCTTTGTTTCTTCAGCCCAATGATACACCAGGTAGTTCCCTAATTTCGATTAAACTAACAGGCCCTGAGAATAATGCATTATGGAGTAGCTCAATGCGAATTAGTCTGTTAGGTAAAAGCAAGTTAGGATTTGTGAATGGCCGATATCCTAAGGAGAAATTTGATGTTTCTCTTCATGATTTGTGGGAGAAATGTAATGCTATAGTCCTTTCATGGATTATGAATTCTGTATGTACTGAATTACTTAGTGGAATTGTATATGCTACGAGTGCATATAAGGTATGGACTGATCTCCAAGAAAGATTTGATAAGGTTAATGGATCTCGAGTTTTCTTCCTTCATTCACAAATTTCTACGCTTACTCAAGGAATTTCTTCTGTGTCGACCTATTTTTCAAAACTAAGAGAACTATGGGCAGAATTTGATGCGTTAATGCCATGTCCTGGATGTAATTGTGCTGAGTCTAGGAAATATGTGGAACACTTCGAGTATCAACGTCTTCTTCAATCTTTTATGGGTCTCAATGAGTCTTACTCACAGTCCATTAATCACATCATGATGATGCTTCCTACTCCATCGATTAATAAGGCATACGTTATGATCATTTCTGAGGAAAGTCAAAGATCTCTGAGTTCTTCTTCTTACAGTTCTGAAATTGCTGAAGGGACAACTTTGTTTAGTGGCAAAGGCAACTCTAATGTATGTACTAACTATCAGGGGAACAATTCCTCTTACAAGGGTATAAGCAGAAGAAGTGATCTTTACTGTGATCATTGCCATCTCACAGGTCACACAAAAGCAGTTTGTTACAAGTTAATTGGATATCCTCCAGATTATAAATTCAAGAAGAAAATAGGGTCATATCTCAAGGACAATGACACTGGCAAGGGAAATCCTAATGCAGGTAGTCATACTGATAGTAGTGATAGTGGAAATCAGTTTGGATGTCCATATGCCAATTTTGCAGGATCTTCTCACATGTCCAAAGGTTCTACTGATGCATTTGGTGCTATTCCTCAATTTACTGAGCGAAAATACAACCAAATCTTAGCTTGATTCAGAAAAATCTGAAGCTGCTCATGTAGCCTTGACAGCAGGTATGATCCCTTGTACTACTATCACTGCAGATGATGTTAAGCGGATAGTGGATTCTGGTGCTTCTTGTCATATGGTTAGCTCAGTTGCTATTTTATCCCACAATACAACAGTAAACAAGAATGGTCTAGGAAAAGTTCATTTGCCTACTGGTAATGTAGTTAATGTAATTCACACAGGGTTATCATGTCTCTTTCCTGGTCAAGAGATAACCAATGTCATGCATATTCCTGAGTTCAAATACAATTTGTTGTCTGTTTCTCAACTGACAAAGGAGCTCAAGTGTGTTGTATTATTATATCCTGATTTTTGTATTCTTCAAGATCTCTCAAGTGGCAAGGTGAAGGAGATTGGTAGAGAAGAAAGTGGCTTGTGTGTGTTCCAATCAAGTCATAAGAAAGCATTTACAGCAAATGTTGTTGTTGCTATAGCTACTAGTGCTTGTCCTTCATCACTTGGAGTTTCTTCTATAGACTCTGATAGCTATAGTATGAATCTTTGGCACAAGAGGTTGGATTACACCTCCTCTGCCACTATAAGGAAGTTGTTTTGTCCTACTTCTACACATTGGGACAAATGTATCAAGAGTTATAATATTTGTCCTTTAGCAAAACAAACTAGACTGCCTTTTCCATTAAGCACTACCACATCTGATTGTTGTTTTCAATTAGTTCATGGTGATGTTTGGGGTCCTTATAGAGTCCCTACTTATAATGGAAAAAAATACTTTCTTACTCTTGTTGATGAGTATTCTCGATATACTTGGTTGTTTCTACTATCTTCTAAAGTTGAAGTTGTTGTTGTTGTTAAGGATTTTTTGCTTATGGTTCAGACTGTTTATTCTTCAGTTGTGAAGTGTCTTAGGACTGATACTGGGTGTGAGTTCTTTAACTCACAAATGAATGCATTGCTGAAGTCTTTTGGTACTGTTCATCAAAGTTCTTGTTCTTACACTCCACAACAAAATGGAGTGGCTGAGAGGAAACATAGACACATTTTATAAGTAGCCAGAGCTATCAGATTTCAGGCTGGTGTACCATTGAAGTTTTGGGGTTATTGTGTGACCACTGCTGTATATATAATTAATAGATTTCCTTCTGCCATCATTCAAGATAAATCTCCTTTTGAGAAACTTCACAGCCACCCATCTTCTCAAGCTAACATGAAAGTATTTGGCTGTTTGGGATATGTAACTCAGGTTAGAAAGGTGGACAAATTCTCTCCAAGAGCTATTCCTGCAGTATTTCTTGGCTATTCAGTGTCTAAAAAAGGTTATATTATGTATGATTTGGAGTCTAAAGTATTTTTGACTAGTAGGGATATCTTATTTCAGGAAAATTCTTTTCCTTTTAAGAAAATTTCCACTTCTCCTTCTTATTTGTTTTCTCTGAAGGAAGATGAACTTCAGGCCTCACATATAGAAGATAATAATCAGTTATCCTTCAGTGTTCCTGCTCCTTCTTCTACTGCATATGTTCTTTCTCTGGATGTTCCTTCTATGGGTGATGTTTCTGCCTCTGAACCTTCGTAGTACAATCTCCAGCAGTACCTGTTGTTAGAAAATCTTCCAGGTCTACTAAGCCTCCTATTTGAATGCATGACTATGTCTCTACAAGCAAAGGAAGTGCCAACTGTTGTTATCCAGTATCTGATGTGGTTAGTTATGATCATTTATCACCTGTGTTTAGAGCTGCTTTAGCATCCTATTCTGTCATCAAAGAACCACTTCTTATGCTGAGGCTATTAAAGATCCCAATTGGGTTGCTGCTATGCAATCTGAAATTCCAGCATTACAGGATAATCACACTTGGAGTTTAGTTGAATTACCAGCTAGAAAGAAACCTTTTGGGTGTAAATGGGTGTTCAATGTTAAATGCAGATCTTCTGGAGCTATGGAAAGGTACAAGGCTCGACTTGTGGCAAAGGGTTATAGCCAACAAGAGGGGTTAGATTAAACTGGAACCTTCTCTCCAGTTGCTAAGATGGTTACTGTCAGGTCGGTTGTGGCTGTGGCAGCAGTTAAACATTGGTCTATTTTTCAGATGGATGTTCATAATGCTTTTCTTCAAGGGGATTTAGTAGAGGAGGTGTATTTAGAGGTTCGTTCTGGTTTTTCCAGCCAGGAGGGGAAACATGTTGTCTGCAAATTACATAAGTCTCTTTATGGACTCAAACAGGCACCTAGTCAATGGAACAAGAAACTCACAGATGCATTGGTACAACTTGGCTTCTCACAAAGTCATTTTGACTATTCTTTATTCACCAAGACAGTTCAATGAGAGCTGGTAATTGTCTTAGTTTATGTGGATGATTTGCTGGTAACAGGAAGCAATACAGACTTGATTCTACAAACAAGGAATGAATTAAAGCTAAAGTTCAAAATGAAAGATCTTGGAGAATTGAAGTTTTTTCTAGGAATTGAATTTGCTAGATAACAAAAGGGAATAGTGATGAGCCAAAGGAAATATGCATTGGAACTAATTAGTGAGTTGAGATTAAGTGGCACTAAACCAGTTAACACACCTTTGGAAACAAATCTGAAGCTTACATCAGTTGACTGTGATGATTTTATAACTAAGGAAGCAGGTTCTACAAATGAAGATACACTACTTGTTGATCCTACTCAATATCAACGGCTAGTAGGAAAGTTATTATATCTTACTATGACTAGAATTGACATTGCATATGTAATGCAAGTGCTAAGTCAATTCATGCATAGTCCCAAACAATCTCACATGAATGTTGCTTTAAAAGTAGTGAAATATATAAAGAATGCTCCAGGTCTTGGTCTTCTAATTCCCTCAGACAGCTCTGAAAAATTTGTGGCATATTGTGATTCTGACTGGGGTGGTTGCTTATAGACTAGAAGGTCAGTCACAGGATACTTAGTAAAGTTTGGCAATGCTGTAGTGTCCTGGAAGTCAAAGAAACAAGAAACAGTAGCTAGAAGCTCTGCTAAAGTAGAGTTTAGAAGTATGGCTTCGGTTGTGGCTGCAGTGCTTGGTTGATTGGTTTGTATAAAGAGCTGGAAATCAGTGTTGAGGTTCCCATATATCTTTATTGCGACAACAAAGCTGCTATTCAGATTGCAGCAAATCCCATCTTTCATGAAAGAACTAAGCACATTGACATTGATTGTCATTTTGTGAGAGACAAGATTATACAAGGTATCATCAAGACTCATTATGTTTCCACTAAGGAACAGCAGACTGATCTATTAACCAAGAGTCTTGGCAGGAAACAACATGAACACTTAATGACCAAACTGAGTTTGAAGGATGTATTCAAATCATCAGTTTGAGGGAGGATGTTGAATAAAAGATATTTTTTCATTAATTAGTATTTTGAGTTAGTTGTATTCTGTTAGTATTTTCAGTTAGTTATATTGTTAGAAAGTTAGTTAGAGTTTGTTATTAAGATGTATAAATACAATATGTGCAGATGATTTTGATATCAAGTTGAATATACTCAAACATTTTATTTTTTCCTGTTATCTTCTCTCATCTTGAAGGTTCTCACATGGTGAAGACGAAGGAACTTCACATTTTAATTATTTTGCTTAAGGTCACAAGGTTAAAGGGCAATTTTGTATATTTGACATAACTTTAATTTAGGACTACAAAATTCAAAAGTATTCTTTATTTACTTAAACTCTGTGTCAAGTCAAACCAGGTCACATTCTTTATGAAACGGAGGGAGTATAATCTTTGAGATACATCGATATTCGATTTGGCAATTTTTGTTTTATTGTGAACTCCAAAATTATTGTTGCCCTCCAATTATGGAATGGAGTCTGCTTTTTTATTTTATTTTATTTTTTTTATCAATATTTCATCATGTTAATCAACATATGTGACATGAGAACTAAATTTCTTTTTCAGAATTATGCCAAGTACTGCTGATAAATTGTAAACAAATTGAAATATTGCTAGTCAAGTACTTGGTGTATGAACAAAATGCTTCGGAGAATTGACCAGAATATATTAAGGATCAAAATAAAACAAATTGACCTTACTTATTTGGAGGATAGAAACAACTTCTTATAGGCCTCAGTTAAAGCCACATTTGTGGTTCTAAAACCACCATGAATAATGAAGTTCAAACCACTCACATATTTAGAATCATCACTTGCCAAATACAACACTCCATTTTCTACATCTTGTTCATGTAATAAAACTCCTTCCAAATTTCCCCCGTCACCAAACCATTTCTTTGCCTTTTCTCTCTAAGTTATTCCGAGCGCTAAATTGTGTGCTAATTGTGTCCAAAGTGCATTCTTTGACGCTTTATAGGTATGTGGCAAATCAATATAAGACTCTGTCGCCATGCTTGCTGTGAAAATAATAACTCCTTTATTGGCTGGAATCATCACTCTAGCAGCATGTTTCGCGAAAAAAAATCCCCCAACAACGTTGTTGTGCGGAATTTGATATAATACGAGAAAATATAAACGCGAAAAATAAGACAACAAATTTACGTGGTTCACCAATAAATTGGCTACGTCCACGGGAAGAGGGGGAGCAGTTTTATTATGGAGAGGCAAGAACAGAATTACAGAATAGGGTTTGCCATAGCGTCTATATATAGTGCTAAACTACGCCCTAACAGGCTTGGGCCCAAAATACATAATTGACAGATAATTAAGGGCTCAATTCAAGGCATTCAACAAATCTCCACCTTGACTTGAATTCTCCAAACAAATTCTTCAGACGCACTATGATAGTGTCAGGCCTCCCCCTCTTCCTCAGAATTGCCCCGCAGGGCAATTAACAGCTTCTGATGTTGAGCAAGTCCAAACAGTGTTGAAACTTGCTCTGTGGAACCGGCTTTGTGAACATATTAGCAGGATTATCAGCAGTTCCTACTTTCTTCACCTTGATTCTTATCTCACTTCTCAAAAAATGATATCTTACGTCAATATGCTTGGTTCTCTCATGATGGACTTGATCCTTGGCTAGACAAATTGCGCTCAAACTGTCACAATACACCGTAGCTTGATCATGATGCAGACCAAGATCACTAACCAACCCTTTCAGCCAAATCCCTTCTTTTGCAGCCTCTGTCAAGGCCATGTACTCCGCTTCCGTAGTATACAAAATCACTGTAGGTTGCAAAGTTGCCTTCCAACTGACAACAGATCCTCCAAGGGTAAACACATAGCCAGTCATCGATCTTCTTGTGTCAACATCTCCAGCATAGTCAGAATCAGAATAGCCAGTAACCAAGCACTGAGTATCACCTCCATAAATGAGACCAACGTCAGATGTACCTCTAAGGTACTGGAAAATTCTCTTCACAGCCTGCCAATGTTCTCTCCCTGGTTGTCCCATGAATCTTCTTACTACACTGACTGCATGTGCTAAATCTGGCCTTGTACAGACCATAGCATACATCAAACTTCCTACGGCACTGGCATAAGGGACTCGTGACATATACTCCTCCTCTTCTGACTGTGGAGCGAACATGGCAGTGAGATGGATATTGGCAGCACTGGGGGTATCAATAGGCTTAGATGAAGACATGCCAAACCTCGCCAAGACCTTCTGAATGTAGCTTCTCTGTGACAAGAAAAGTTTCCTTCTCTCTCTGTCTCTAATGGTCTCCATCCCTAGAATCTTTCGAGCGACTCCC